ATGGCGGAGATCATGGTGGACTTCCCTGTCCCCGGTGGCCCGTAAAGGAGGTAACCCCTCTTCCAAGCCTTCCCGATTTTCTTATAGTAGTCCCTTCCCCTTTCCGAACTTCAAAAGATCGTTAATTATCGACTGTTTCTCCTTCGGATCCATCGCCAATGTCTCAAATGTCGCCGGATGCTCAAACACCACATGGCTCCATTTCGTGCCCTTTCCGGTGTTGTTAATGTAGAGCTTCCGCTGCCTGTTCTTAACCGCAATCGCCTTCCCCTCCTGCCTCACATGGTCAAGATACGACCCCATGATAACGTCCCTATGCCGGCGGTGGAACGTCAGCTTGAACATCTTCCTCTCATCGTAATCGGGAAAGAACGAAAAGGATGCCTTTTTCGTCGCGCTCTTCTTGGACGCCCACCAGAGCTTGACGCCCTCGAACTCGTCGGTGACCTCCTCGTTGTCGTCCATGCCTAGAACCAAAGCCTTGCTTCCTTTAACCTCATGAGCCTTGAGGCGCTTCGCCAGCGTCGAGGATTTCGTGCTGAGGTAGTTCTGGATCGCGGAGTAGACCTCGCTCCGCCGGTAAAAGTCGCTGTCGTATTCATCGAAGGTGATTTGGATGTACGGGTAGACATAGGCTACTAATTTCTGACCGTATTTTTCAAGGATATCGCCGAGATTGTCTGGGAAGAATTGCTTGAACATGGCATAAGCAAACATCATGCTCGCCATCACCGAGCCGAGCTGCCCCCACATATCCCCCATTTTCAACATCGGTGAAGGAGAAATCAAGTGACAGTCCGACAGTAGCAGTATTCTCAAGAAAAAATCACGTAACGATACGACAGTCACACTGTAAATCTCTTTGATAAAGATTTGATAATGAAGGCGAAGTTATATAGAGAAGACGATGAGGAAGTTTGGCTTGGTGATCAAGACAGAGGACTGTCTAGAGAGAAGCGTGACCAGCTAACTAAACGCTCTGATCAACTCAATTTCCTGGCAGCTTCCATTTGGCCACTTTTGATTTATCTGAATTTAGCTTTTTCAACGCCTACCAAGTTTGACCAATGCAAAATATTGTGTACGTTCACATACATGGAATTGAAATGACCAAGACTATAAGATATTTTCTTTTTTAAGTATTGGTATTTAAGCAAATGCTTCATATGTTATTAAAAGAATATATATGTTATAATATTATGAGTCGTCCAATATATGGATGGTCAACCCATTACATCTCACTCATCCCACTTTACATGTCCTTCCACTAGGAGCTGCCACTGTTTGCTTTTGGTGTTCCTGCTTTGCCTATAAATCAAAGGAGATACGAAGAGAATAAATATATAGAAGAAGAAATGGAAGAGAGAAGCCAGAAGGCTCATGGTAGAGAGAGGAAAAAGAGAGGAGAGAATAAAGAGAGTTATATTTGTAATCTTATTATTTCAGATTATAATGAAAACACTACTACTGCTCTGAGGACGTACTCCAGTCACACTGACTATAGAGGAACCTCGTAAATTTTTGTGTCTTGTTTATTTATTCTGCTGCACATACCGTCAATTTTACAACAATATAAAGAAACACAAAAAAAAAAAAAAAAAAAAAAATTTAACACGTGGAGTATCGCTTTAACATAGGTCATGAGGAAATTGATGTCAATATGAAATAGAAAGCGGTTTTCTCGTTAAATTATTTACTTACGATCATGAATTGAAGTAAAATTAGTTTGGTTACTGAAATATTTTTGTGTACGATAACATTTACTTCTCAATTTTCAAGGAATTGTTTTAGGTCTTTGAGCGTGAGGAGCATTTGATGATTACTTGTTTGGAGGTACTTTTAAAATTATCGAAAAAACGTTGTTAGACAAAAATTTTTTCGATTCTCAAAGCACTTGAAGTGCTTCCAAGGAGAATGATTTACTTGCGTTTTTACCAAGAATTAATTCCAAAAATATTTTTACAACAAATTATTTTCAGTCATTTTAAAATGTTGTTAGACAAAATGTTTTTTTGATTCCCAAAATACTTAAAGTGCTTCATGAGAGAATGATTTACTTACGTTTTTATCAAAAATTAATTCTAAAAATATTTTTATAAAAAATTATTTTCAATCATTTTAAAAATATTCCAAACAAGTACTTCCACACATAACAATTTCATTCATTGTTCTTTTTAATTCCCACCTAACATGAGGAATCTCACCCGCCCTACCAATTAGTAACGGCATTCCTAATTTAGCTTACAAAGCTATTTCATGGAAAGGGATAATTTCTGGATCCCTTCCTCCTAATCAACCAAATCAATAGATTCGTACCATTGAAATTTGATTTAAAAGCTAAAGTTATTATAACTTTTAAAGTAGGCACCTGTTTGTTTGGATCAAATTTCAACAGTACAGATCCACTGATTTGGTGAATTAAGAAGAAAGAATCTAGAAAGGATGCCTTTTCCTATTTCATTACCTTTTAGAACAAGCTGTCAAAAATTAAATTGGTTAACTATCTTTTCCATCTTACTTTAAAATTCATAAATTTTAATTCATCAAAATTCTTTAAAATCTCAATTAAACACACCTCTTTAAAAATAATATAATTTTATATAAACAGTTTATTAATTTACCTCAATCAAAATGGACCAATATAATTATTAAAATTTTACATGCTAATTAATAGGTAAACATAGAATATCAAAAAATTAGTGAGTGTGTAATAATTAGAAATTTGGATTGTCACATCAATCACCTCCACTATTCTTTTTCTTTGCCGATTCACCTTCACCGGTTCACACTAGTCAAATAGGATCAGTACACCGCCTTGTGACGTTTTCTATTAATAAGCGACGTTTTCTATTAGTATCTGTCACCAATCAGTATACGTCGGCATGACCAACACAATATAAATTATTCTCCGTTCTCCGCAACATTCTTCAACACTCAATTTAAAAAAAATAATATTTCATATCATTTTTATTTTTAAACTAAGATATTAAATTGTTAAAGCAACGTGGCATTTTTGTTTTTACATTAGTATATTTTATATAAGAAAATATTATTGGCACTTTAAAAATCTCATTCTACCCTCCTCACAAATGTATTTTTCATTCCAAATATAGAAAGTGTAGAATGAGATTTTTGAGTACCAATAACAATTCTTTTTATATATTTTGTTTTAAAAAATTTTGATACGAATTTAATATTCTTAATTTTGTCAAATATATTCTTGAGAGAAATTTATGCATTACCCAAATGTATTTATAAGGTCATCTTCAACCGACCCGACCAAAAGGTTATATGGTTAAAAATAGCTCGAAATGACACGAAAATCGTCTACAACTAAGGGCTTATGGGCCCTATCGGGCCTAAACTCCCAAATCAAGCCAATGGGCTAGCCATTTCAGCCAGCCAACTAGCCATCCAGCTCAATCCATTTGAATGCAAATGGCTAGCTAACGTCATGCTGCCGTCAGGTTACAGATGGAATTTGAATTATTTTTTTTGAACGAATTTAAAAAGAAAATTTCTAATTTTTTCCTATAAATACCTACATCATTCCTACAACATTGAAAGTTGAAGATAATAAGTGCCACTTAGATAAGAATCTTATCTAAAATTTGCACAACCAATTACATCTCAACACGTGGCACTCGAAATCCTATCGGAAAAATTATTAAGCTTAATAAAGATAAGAAATCTAGAAAGTTACTCACTTTAGCAACACGTGTCACTTAAAATTCTATTCAAAAAATTATTAAAATTACATAAAGATAAGAAATCTGAAGAGTTATTTAAGTTAGCAACACATGTCATTCAAAATCCTATCAAAAATATTATTGAGATTATATAAAAGGAAATCCAAAAGCTTATTCATTTGGCAATAAACAGCACTCAAAATATGTCCAAAAATCTTATTTTAATATAATAATTTAATTTAATTAATCATATTAATTTAATTAAAATAATAAATTATGTTTAGCATTTGATCCTTTGGACCCCTCGCTGGAGATGATTTTTTATCAAATGACTATATTTGACCTATAATCCTTTGATGAAAATGTTATAAAATATAACTTAACACTGTTTATTAAAATATAATTTCTTATAAGGCTATTAGTGTTAAAACGGCATTGCCTAAGAGAAATTGGTTGGTCGCGAGAATATGATAAGTCCGACAGCAAACGCCGACGTCAAAATTCACAAATTTGGCACGATAAAAAACGAGAATGAAATCGTTATCAAACAGAACAAAAACAAACCCCTCGGTGGAGATGATTTTTTATCAAATGACTATATTTGACCTATAATCCTTTGATGAAAATGTTATAAAATATAACTTAACACTGTTTATTAAAATATAATTTCTTATAAGGCTATTAGTGTTAAAACGGCATTGCCTAAGAGAAATTGGTTGGTCGCGAGAATATGATAAGTCCGACAGCAAACGCCGACGTCAAAATTCACAAATTTGGCACGATAAAAAACGAGAATGAAATCGTTATCAAACAGAACAAAAACAAACCCTGGAGATGATTTTTTATCAAATGACTATATTTGACCTATAATCCTTTGATGAAAATGTTATAAAATATAACTTAACACTGTTTATTAAAATATAAATTCTTATAAGGCTATTAGTGTTAAAACGGCAATGCCTAAGAGAAATTGGTTGGTCGCGAGAATATGATAAGTCCGACAGCAAACGCAGACGTCAAAATTCACAAATTTGGCACGATAAAAAACGAGAATGAAATCGTTATCAAACAGAACAAAAACAAATGGCAAGGAAGTAAATCTCAGACATCCAAGGAAGGATAAAAGCAGCATAAGCTCTCAAGCCCGGCGAAAGGCGAAAGCTCTTAGGCGGCCACTGCGAATGTTCTTGAGAAACAAGCCTTCGATTTTGTCATCATCGATAATTTTATATTTATACATACAAATTATGATTTAAAAATTCACAACACAAATGCAAAAAACAAAAATTAACAATTTTTTTTTGTGAATCCGATCTGCCCAGATAATTTCAATTTTCATTCTCATTGATTTTAAAAAAATAAAAGAAAAAACAAATCTCTGAAGTCTGACATGTGAATTAATTCAGAAATCATCACAGCAGAAAATAAAATTTAAAAAAAAAAATGAAGAACATTGGAAAACTTTCGGATATTTTTAACGACAAATTGAAATTGGTAAAACTGGAAGAGCGATCAGAGATGGTTAAGGGTTGTCGGTCACGGTTAAATCAGAAACACGGACCAATAAGTTCATCATCATATCACAATTGAAAAATTAATTTTGCAAAGTAAATAGGTTTTAAATTTGTGAAATTCATGAAAAAAAAAAAATGGAAGAGTGGAAAGAAATCATCAGAGACTTAAATAACAGGAATCATGGAAAACGGAGCGTATCCATCATATTGTTGCAGTATTTTCTTCATCACCTGATTCGCAATTTCCACATCACAAAACTAAAATCGGGACGTAAAGAGATAGAGCGGCAGAGGAAGGGTTGGGGGCGGCGGAGGGAGTGTGTGTGCGTGTGCGCGCGCGCAGAGGTTGAAGAGAAACCCTAGAGTGATAAGAAGAGGAAGAAGACGACGGTTTGAAACTCTAGGAGAGAATATTTATAAGGTGACGGCTGAGGTGTAAAAACCCTAAATTTTGATATGGGCCGTGAGACATAAATGGGCCTTGTATTCACTTAATACGTATTCATAATGTAACCGCCTGTCACTATACTACATAGTATAAGGTCCACAAATGAAACCCAAAAACTTATCTTTTGGGCTAGTTTAACCTAGAGGTGGGCCGGGAGCAATCCGGTTTGGTTCGGTTAAACCCTCAAATCCCATACTGACTCAGAGCTTTGCTCATTCATACTTTCTTTAAGCGGGAATGGTTGAGATTTATTGAGATTTAACTAATTAAGCTTGTGAGAAAAAAGGGTGAGGAAGAATTGTAGACATCGAAATTTCAGTAAAACAAATGTTCACCAATGCATTAAAGTTTTGACGTGTCAAGGCATACATGGCATACGCCACGTGTTGTACAAATTGTACACATGGCGTGTGACTCAACAAAATAGGAAGAAATACCCTTGAAGGATTAAACAAGTTTTTCTTCTCATTTTGGGCAATGACAAGGCAAGTACATTTCAATCCATTGAGGATCAAAACAAGTTTTTCTTCTCATGTTGGGTAATGACAAGGCAAGCACACTTCAATCCATTACGGATCAAAGCAAGTTTTTCTCATTTGGGCAATGACAAAGCATACACATTTCAAGTTTAAAATGGTGTTAAGTGGGAAATTAGGCCATAAGTTAGACCACTTCAAGTTTAAAATGGTATTAAGTAGGAAATTAGGCCATAAGTTACACCACTTCAATTTCAATATTGCATTAAGTGGGAAAATTAGGCAATGGTGCTTGGAAAGGAAAAAAATATTTTTGTGGTGGTGATTCATTCTCAAAGCCTATAAATAGGCTTCTCCATCAAGGTATCAAGCATCAAGGAATTCACAAATACATTTCTCTACTCCAAAATTAGAAGAGGAATTCCCCAAATCCTTGAAGCTTTGAAACTCCAAAGCTTCCAACCATCCAAATTCCCAAGAATTGCGAAGGATCAAGAAAGCTCTCTTCGTTCTTCGTTAAATCCTCTTTCAAAATCAAGCCCCGACGGCCCTTGAAGAAAGTGTTCATCGTTCATCCTAAGATCAAGCCCCAACGGCCCTTTGGATCAACAGCACAAACAAATCCACACATCCAATCATTCTTCAAGATTAAGCCCAAAAGCCCTTGAAGATCCGCTCATCCATCAACCTTCAAGATCAAGCCCAAAAGCCCTTGAAGAAATCCACACAATCATTATTCAAGATCAAGCCCCGACGGCCCTTGAAGAAAGTGTTCATCCGTTCATCCTAAGCATAAGCCCCCAACGGCCATTTGGATCAACAACCTCAACAAATCCACACATCCAATCGTTCTTCAAGATTAAGCCCCAACAGCCCTTGAAGATCCGCTCATCCATCAACCTTCAAGATCAAGCCCAAAAGCCCTTGAAGAACTCCCACCAACTCAAGATCAAGCCCCGACGGCCCTTGAAGAAAGTGTTCATCCGTTCATCAACTGTTCATCCTTAGATCAAGCCCCAACGGCCCTTAAAGATCCGCTCATCCATCAACCTTCAAGATCAAGCCCAAAAGCCCTTGAAGAAATCCACACAACCATTATTCAAGATCAAGCCCCGACGGCCCTTGAAGAAAGTGTTCATTCGTTCATCAACTGTTCATCCTTAGATCAAGCCCCGACGGCCCTTTGGATCAACAACTCATCCACAAACCTACACCCTACGAAGATAGAATCAGAGGACCAAATTTGAGAGAGATCGTAACCCCAAAATCATTAAACACAAAAACATTATTTTGTACACGTTATTCTTGTTTCTTGTTTCAAGGAACTTTCGTGTTCACAAGAATTTCCACACCGACCCAATGTAAGTGTTAAGAAAATAATAAAAGTAAAATTGACAGTTTAGTGCGGTTTAAGCCAGTTCCAAATAGTCAATTTTTAGTAGTTTGTTCGTGTAAAATTTCATTGCTTTAACGTAAAATTTGAATCAAATTGCTCAAATTGGTTTGGGTTGACCGAGTTGAACAGTTCGGACGGTTGTCAAACTACTCCTAGATCTTTTCCCTTTAAAATTTGGAGAAATTGAGCGTCCAACGAAAATAAATGAAACAGTTAAATCTCCAACGACATTATTTGTGGTGTTGATTATCAATTGTACATTAGCCTTTACACCCAAATTTCAAAGTAACACAACATGGGGCAAACTAGTCTTTAACCTACATGGAGGTATACCCAGCAGCACCCCACCCTGCAGGACAAAATGTGATCACATACTTACTTGCCTTGCAGGTCACCAATGGAGGTGGTGTATCATAAGCATAGCTGTAATACGAAGGGCAAGCATCTTTGAATAACTTTGAGTACACACTCGGCTTGCATTTTTCTGGGGTTCCATACTCTTTCCGGCAACAATACGCGTCCGTATTAAACGCCAAGCAAGCACTTTTGCACGCCACAACTTCCCCTTTCTTGTTTAAAACCTTAAGCTCTTTGGGGCACCGAGTTTTCAAATCTTTCAAACACCCTTCGATAGTGCAATTGGATTTTAGTGGGTTTGATAAGACTGCGACCGGAAGATTGTATCCATCAACCGCGCTCACATCGTAGAAATTCAGCTTGCCTTTGTCGCCTTGAACCGAAACTTGCACTAGTGTCACTGGTGGATTGCCTATTAGCCCATTGCATGCTAATCGTCCGTCACAATCTCCTGTTTCGCAGGCAGGCTTCCCCTTGGAAGCAAAGTCGCATCCTGTTCGGGCCCAAATCCGACCGCTCCATGACCACGGGGCAGTAACGCGCTGAGTCTTGCCAGCGGGGAGGTAGAAGCCACCATCAGCTATCACGGCCTTTCCGGCGTTGGGGGCAGTTGCTGGCCATATGTTGAAGGGGCACTTGTTGTGTATGTAAAACGAAACTGTCTGTGCCTTTCCATGACCTGCAATATAACATATTGATTCAAAACTAGTAACAATAAAGTTCAAGAACAGTTTAGACACTGCAAAATATGAATCTGCTTTAACAAAGGAAACCGATTTTCACATTTCCTCCCCCCCAAACATTGTTTCCCTTGGGAGGAGTACATACCGAGAGAAACGGGAGTGTGAAAATCACTACCTTGACAAACAAAACTGTTAAACGAACATGTTTGTTTCTATGAAATTACCAAAAAAGATGAAAGTCCACACTAGGAACAGAAGGAAAGCAGCAACAAAGTCAGGCGACTTCATGGTTTGGATGCATATATTCAGGTGGAATGCAATGTTGCTTAGGAGCTACATATATAGGTAAAGTTAAATGGTGCTTCTTCTTGGATTGCACTTCAAGGTTTGATGTGGGACAATCTTTGTAGATAATCAATACAAGATTATAGTAATGTTGCCCTTTAAGCAACGTTCTTAAATTGTCATTTGGACATTGACCTCTGTTGACAAATGATGAGAATCAATACGATGTCTAATTACTTTTGCAGAGAAAAATCACCAAATATAGGTCACATGTAAAACATAGGATGAGCGGTAATTGTCAGTAGTGCCAACTTTAAGGTCACTCTTTGAAAGGGTAAATTATTCGGTGAATCCGGTTGTATATTTTGTGTTTATCATCAAATGAAAGAGATAGTCACACGATGATATACATCCGTTGCACCATAAGTTCTCTCATTTCAAAGCAAAAATTTCTAGGTACAATCAAGTGTATATCACATTGTCTCTGTTCCTCTTGTATCTCTCTTCATGTGATACGGCACATGAGGAGAAAGATAGGCACAAAAAAATATACACCCGAATGTATATCACTTTGTCTTTGTTCCTCCTATATCTCTTTATGTGATATGACACATGAAAAGCGAGATAGATAAAAAAAAATATACATCCTATTGCACTTTAGTTTCTTTGCTTTATTTAGAAAGGAAAAAGGCAAAAGCTTTACAACAGTTGGACAATGATGATGACTGATTTGTGTAATATAAACTTATTTTCTTTTCAAAATTGAAATAATACAAAAACTCTCAGATAATCATCAGTGCAATTAATGTGGTAACCAAGAAATTCAACCCCAGGATTCTGACCTGACCCTCTCAGTTTTTGTGCATTGTTTATTCTTTCCAAAGTCCAAATAATATTTGTTATAGTAATGCTATTTACACACTTATTTTTACTTCTTACATATTTCTTGCTAATCTTCATTCTTCGATCAATTCATTTGATTCGCAGCTGAAAATTAAGAGTGGTGTGTAAGAGGTTAAAATGAGTGTGTGAATAACACCATCCTATTTGTTATAACAATGGTGATATTTCTTGCCCTTTTTAGAACAAATTAATAAATAATGAGTTCCTTTCTTATTCTGGTCTCTGCAAATGTGTTTTACAAATTTAAAAAATAAAAAATTGCCTCTTTTTAGTAAAATCTTTTCACATACATGGAAAAGTAATTATTGTCCAGGGTGGTTTACCTTACCTTCTCCTTCTCCTGCCACATTTAGCTGTCAAGAATATCCAATGGTATCCACACTGCATCCTCTGCATCAATTGCACTTTGCAAATCTGCTATTCACCATCTACTCACTTCTGGATACAGTACACTGAAACTGTTCATAATCCGACACGAGATAAACTTCTATACACCAGAATGTCACCGCGACGATATTTCAAGTTAATCACGAACACCCCACCGACCCAAACTTGAGACCTGATGTGGGTTTATCACATGGCACCGTACACTCAAACCAGAGGGGGAAGGCCATAACGGTATTGGCTAAGGAGGTGTAAAATATACATTTGCACTTTTGGTTTCATTAGAAAAATCTGAGAGGCTTTTGTCGTCCTCGTAAACAGGGATTCTCTGTTTCCTTCTCTCTCTCTCTCTCTCTCTCTCTCTCTCTCTCCCTCTGTGTTGTGTTTTGTCTCTAAGCTGTAACGTTGTCTGGGGCAGAGAGTAAGAAAATGGACATTGGTTATCTCACCCCGTTCTTCCCACACTCACACTCTGATTTCAAATTTGAATACCGTTTTTATACACTCTCTTTTGGGTCCCTACGCTCAGCTCCCTTCTTCGCGCCCGCATCTCTCTCGTCCTCCCTTTGACCACCTCGGTCACACCCCCATCCATCCCCCACCCCACCACCAACCCCCATTTTTAACCCCAGTTTTTTCTCTCTGACATTTCATCGAACAGCTCATCCGCAACGTCTCAACCATGGACAAACCGCCCCATTCCGCCGAATCCCACGATGGCGAATCCGTCGTCAGCAGCCTCCAAGATCTCAGCTTCAAAAACAGCTTCAGCATCAGCATGTGTAGTAGCACCGTTTCTGGGTCCGACAGCACCAAGGTCAGTAGTAATGGCACTCCGGAAGCAAACAAGAACGCCGAAAATGCCGATTGCGAAGACGAAAGTTACAAAAGTAGCTTAACCCACTTGGGAAATTCCAACCGGTCCGACCCGAACGAGAGCAGCTTCCGGAGTTTCTGCCCGTCGAAGCCGCACAAAGGCAACGACGCGCGGTGGGACGCGATACAATCAGTGAAATCCAAAGACGGAGACTTGGGACTCGGCCATTTCCACCTGCTGAAGAAGCTCGGCTGCGGCGACATCGGAAGCGTCTACTTGGCGGAGCTGAGAGGGATGGGTTGCTTCTTCGCCATGAAAGTAATGGACAGAGGAATGTTGGCGGGAAGGAAGAAGCTGATCAGAGCTCAGACGGAAAGAGACATATTGGGGTTGCTGGACCACCCGTTTCTTCCGACCCTCTATTCGAATTTCGAGACAGAGAAGTTTTCTTGCTTGTTAATGGAGTTTTGCTGCGGCGGCGATCTGCATACGCTGCGGCAGCGCCAGCCCGGGAAGCATTTTACAGAACAAGCAGCGAGGTTAGTGTCGATTGCTGTTGATATTTACCCTTTTGTCCTTGTACTTTCTCTCGGTGTGTGTTTATCTTGTTGTCCCATAATTTGCAACATATTATGTAGGTCTGATGATATTAAGGACGTTGTAATTTTTTGGTCAAGACAGTATTTTCGTCGTTACACGTTTATTTTTTCTGTAAATTATAATGGTTTATAATATCGTCTTGTAAATGAAAAATTTTTAATGCCTGTTTGGTATTTTAATTTTTTTGTGATTAAAATAAAAATTTTAAATTTTGATTAGGCTTAACTGTTTTTTTTTTCACAGCTAATTTATTAACATGATTTAGACCAAAAAATTTTCAATCTTACGCAACAAATAAAGTGATTATTTTCTCAGCACATCAATATCAAACTAACCATGTGTTGGCCTAGATGTTGAGGACTAATTTCAAACCAATATTCCACTCAACATGTTCTGAATTCAATTCCATTTATGTGTGATTGTCACGATGATGATCAAAAGAAAGAAGCTTGGTGGTCAGGTTAGTAGGAGGTTGGAATGCTAGTCTCTAAGAACCTTTTGACCTTGGAAAAGATAGACTACGGTGGCGAAACCACCGTCAGTCCCTTTTCAGACAAAAAAAACTATTATACTTAAAAGTGATTTATTTTTAGTTTAACTCTTGTACTCTTGACACTGGGAAAAAGCTCTGTCCTTCCAAATGGTTTTGCAATCAAAATGTTTAGAAATTTCATTGACTTTTGAAGCTTTTATGGGTATAGCAAGCTTACGAGTTGTTTCACTTTTCAACAATCTTTTTTATGTTCATAGCCACAACACCCTTTTATGTGCTTGGACCTAGATCCCAAAACCGTCGGCTCGATAGCCATGTAGCCGTGATCAATGTCATGTGTTTTAATGTTCTTACATGTCAGTGTGTATTGATTACATTCATAGTGAAGTATCCGGTTTATGTAAATCTCTTTCAGTGTAATGCTTGAAAGATTATCTACCACCACCAATGACTTGATAACCAATTCCGGTTAATTTTGGTGCTAACTTCTCGATCAAACAGTAAAAACATTTGATCAAATCAAATTGCATTTTGTTTTGCAGGTTTTATGCTTCAGAAGTGCTTCTTGCCCTCGAGTATCTCCACATGATGGGCGTGGTGTACAGGGACTTAAAACCCGAAAACGTACTAGTGAGGGAGGACGGCCATATCATGCTTTCCGACTTCGATTTATCGTTGAGATGTTACGTGAGTCCGACTCTCGTTCAGTCCAGCGACGATCCATCTTGCAGAATATCTGCGTACTGCATTCAGCCAGCATGCATTGATCCCTCGTGCAAATTGCCGGTTTGTGTTCAGCCGGCTTGTTTGCAACCCTCTTGCTTTAAGCCTCGGTTTCTTAGCTCCAAATCAACCAAGGAGAAAACCGAAAGAGTAGGTTTTGGAAATTCGGATTCGTTGCCTGTACTTATTGCTGAGCCAACGAGTGCGCGCTCTATGTCATTCGTTGGGACACACGAGTATTTAGCTCCAGAGATAATCAGAGGTGACGGTCATGGTAGCGCGGTTGATTGGTGGACTTTCGGTATCTTCTTGTACGAGCTGCTGCATGGGAAGACGCCATTCAAAGGGAATGGAAACCGGGAGACATTGTTCAACGTGGTCGGTCAGTCTCTCAAGTTTCCGGATGGATTCAACGTTAGTTTCGCTGCAAAGGATTTGATCCGGGGCTTACTTGTGAAGAACCCTCAAAAGAGACTGGGATTTAAACGTGGTGCCACAGAAATTAAACAGCACCCCTTCTTTGCAAGCGTAAATTGGGCTCTCATCCGCGGCACGCGCCCGCCGGAGATTCCAAAACCGTTTGATCTTGCGACTCTAAGTCACACATTCAAGTCTGCGGTGCCTCAAAACAACAAGGTGGCTACCGAATCGAATCGATCGTCGGGTCCATACTTAGATTTTGAATTTTTCTGATGAATTTTGATGGGATGAGAAAAAAGGAATGTAGCATTTTTCTTGTGACATTATTCATGTTCTCAATGAAATATTTTCTTCACATAATTGTTTCATTCAACCCCTTGCATAGGGAGGGTTATGCTAAAAAGCATAATTGTGCCACGATGGCGGCGTATGAAGCGGATCAAGCATTGACATATGAAAAAGTTAAAACATGACACTCTATATTGGTTTAGAATACTGTTATAGTTACAGTTATATCTCATTTGTAGGTGATTAAGTTTCTCTCACTCTATTGGTGGTGGAGAAAAACATCGGGCACATACTATTTGCCTCGTTCGCCCTCACACAAAACCAGCCGTCCCCATGTATTTTGTCACACACATTGTTCTTGAACCTTACCTTTTGTACGTACGGCCTTAGTGCGGCAGCCCTACTAAATACTCCATATTCTCGTTCACTTGTAAGTTCCTTTCCATCTACTGGTGCTGGAATCTGAATTGACATGTAAAATGTCTGAAACTTTGGCTGGAAATGCACTTTTCGAAAAGAAGATTAAGAACGAGACAACACAAAAAAAGGGAGGAAAAAAGAACCGTGATTTTGTCTCCCTGGCACTTTGATCTCTTTTGTTCTTATATAATCTGCTTTTATCAGTGTTGGATTCTGCTTTTTATTGAATTGTTCCATGTGCTTCTTTGCTTTTATTTTTTTTCCAGTGCAGCCATTTCTTCAAGATCATACTTTATCAGTGTCCTTTTCCTAAATAGTGAAAATGATTTTACAAAAAAATAAAAATAGTGAAAATGGATACTCACTAAAATATGAAGAAATGTTTTCATATCTTATATCGCCCTTCTTCTTTTTACCCGCTGTATTTCCACCTCCATGCCTCTAGTCAAACCATTTTCACTCTTGATTTCTCAATTGCTTTGATCTGCAACCGTTTCGTTCCTCCGTGTATCACGGCTTTATCAGAAGGTGTCTAGAGTTTTAGCTCGGGTGTTCACACCACCACCTTCTTTTTATGTGTCGATCTCAGCATTGTTGCCTGTGGGAGGTAATGGCTGCGGATTTGAACTTTGTGATGTTTGATTAAGGACGACGAAGTCTACTTCTTCTTTTATTCTTTTTTCTTTTTTTTTTTTTTTTTTTTTTTTCCGGGGCTTGGTTGGGTTTCATCTCTAGCGCATGCAGGGGTTGGTTCGTGTTCGGCGGTAGAGGAATGAGGTGGCTAGAGTTTCATTGTGTGTTTTTCAATTTTGGGCTTAACTCTCGGGTTAGGCATCTTTTTGTCGTTCTATTGGGGGTCCAACTTTTGTTTTGTGCTTTATGTGTAATTAGGCCTTTGTTTATGCACGTATAGTGTGCTAGTAGTAAAATTTACTGAAAATATGACTTTAGCCCCTGAAACTCAAGTTTCTTTACATAAAACCCGACATAGTCTTTTTATTTGAATAAAACCCAATGACTAGGCTCCACATAAGTAAATTCATTAATTTTGTTTGCCTTTACACATTTTTCATTTTTTAGATACCTAAAATACCCCTAATTACCGTTTTGATGTAGACATTTAATTCTATGCATATTTGAAGGGAGAAATTAATAAAAAGAAATGTATTAATGAAGTCGCTATCATTTCAACTCTTGCATTATTGTATGTCGTCTTCTTGACATTAATAAAGTCGCTATCATTTCAACTCAAAAAAAAAATTTAAATTAATTATAGAATAAAAAATGTTATTTGATTCAAAATAAATTTATCTATATTTTATATGATAATATAGGTAAATTTTTCCACACATATATATTAGTAGTAAAATATGCCCAATATATATAATAATGCATGAAAATAATTCACCAACAAATAAAGGAAATTTGATTAAAAATTAATATATCTATTGCTTTTTGTTTATGAACTTCAATTCTTTTTTTATATTACAAACATAATGTACCTACAATATAATTTACCTATTGTTTAATCTTATAAGAAAATAATGTATCTACTATTTTATTTTATTTTATTTATTTATTTATTTTTGTTTTTGTCGAATATGTACTGTTTTATTTTAATGGAGATAATTTGTCTTGGTTTAATTTTTACGAAATTATTTATGCACTGTTTAACTTTCCCAAAATAATGGAACTACTATTTTAATTTACCTACAAAATAAATACTATTTGATTCAAAATTAATTTACTTATATTTTAAATATAAATATAGATAAATTATTTTTAACAAGCATATATGATAACAAACAAAAAATGCCTAATGTATGTAATAATCTAGGTAAAATAATTTACCTACAACATAAACGAATATTAATTGGTTTTTTGTTGTTTTATAAAACAATATTATTATTTGATGCAAAATAACTGATTGTACAAAGGATTTTTCTTTCCAAACGAAAAATGTGCCCATAAATTGTTTATCAACATAGCTAAATTTATATATATATATATATATATGTATATTCCTAATATTTATCATACAAGAAAGGTAAAATTTTCATATGGGGTTAATTGCTAATCATAATTAGGGTGGGTAATAATATTTATTGACATAACTAGAGTTTTGTGGCATAAGTTGTAAATATGTGATGATAATTGGTTACATATTTGTCTACATGGTACTCTATTTGAAATTTGGGTTTTATTTGGAAGTTTAATATTATGTGGGTTTTTACTTGGAAAATAAGAGTTTCAAGGGCCTTTTTCTAAAGAACCCTAAAATTTATCGTTTACCAAAAAAAAAAAACGAAGAAATGTGTATACAAAGTTTTATTTTACAATACGATGTATATGTTTAATTACTCTGATTTTTATATACAAGAGCGAAGATTAAAACGTGAATGCAAAAGGAGGAATCCGGGTCCTCTTTGGGAGGATTCCGGGAATTCGTCAATCATGTTCGTTCATCGTACATCGTGTGGTTATAAATTATTTTAAATATTTTTATGTAAAATTAAACCCAAACAGTACTTAACAAAAACTAACCGCACAATGTATAATGAACAGACATAATTTACGGATCCCATAATCCTCACCAAAAGTATCCGAACAATGTTGCGATAAACCAATCCAAATTCAGCTCAATGATTTACCAACAACATGTACTTTTACCCCTTTAGCATTCTTGGTTGTGGCCTCACGTCTCCTTTGAAGCCCAATTAAATATACAAGGCTCGGTTGTTACTTTGAATTTCTATTTTCTTAGCAATAAGAGTTGATTGAGTTGGTAAGATCGTTCTTTTTAATAAACTAAGATATAAGTTCGAGTCTCGCTACAAGCAATCTCACTTGGTGGGTTTTCTGTAAAAACAATAAAAAAGGATTGAGCCCCCCTCTGTAGCCCACAAAGAGGCTTGTGATATACCTTGACCCTAAGACAGGGGTAGCCTCCTCTTCTCCTAAACTTTTGGTAATCTCCCACTAACGCGCAATACACACAAGCAACACAGCATGTATAAACATTACATATTGAATGTCGTTGCATCTTTGTTTATGAATAACAAAAGTCCTTTATAATGTAATAAAAATCGAGAAATGATAAACACACATTATTTTTTTTTATTTTTTTATACCTCTCGTTGATCTTTTCATTGTTTTTGTTTTATTTATTCACTTCAATGACCATTACTAAAATTAGGCAAGAGTCTAAAAATGATGGGCAAAAATCTATATACCCTAAAAGTATCACTTTTACTATAATTTTAAGTTCAATTATCTTCGCACGAAACTTACAATTATAGCTTAATTAATTAGTAAACTCCCCTCTTTCCTCTATCTTTCCCATAAACAAACAAGAAAAACAGTTATGGAACCTTCACCTCTCCTCTGTATCATCAAATGACATGTTTGAAAGTCATAAAACATTTTACGGTCATCATTCAAAGTTAGACTAGTCGGCGGTATTGAAACGAACCAAACCACCCAATCCATGAGCTCAATTCTTCACGAATTACATTTATTAGCCTTTGCTCATACTCTACTCCAACTTAACACAACAAATCATTATTTTCAGTCTTCTTTCCCACCAACAATATTTGATAGGATAATCTTAAAGAGTTGGTCTAGTAAAAACGATCAAAGATTTGGAATCTTTAATTTGAGTTTGAACTCTTATTAGTGTATTTTTTGAGATTACCGACTTTATTTTGGCGTCCTGTTTCATTTCGAGGCTGAAACACATTGTTGCCTCATGTGAGTTAGACTGCATGGGGGAGGAGGATTTAATCTGGCTTCAATGTGCAGCGGGATACCTTTTATGTTAAAAAAATATAATAAGATGAAGTATTTAAATATTAGTGAAACCTAAAAATATAACTTTCTATTAGAATAAAGCGATCTTATTATTCTAATTTAAATTTAAAAAAAAAAGAAAAAGAAAAGAAGAGTTTGAATATGAAAGTAGTAAGTTGAAGATAAAGACTTTATTCATTAAGGCAGTATTTCGAGACACAACAGGGACAATAGTCTTACACCATAAATTTTGTATATAATTTTCATACTATCCATTTTATATTAAACGCGTTCTAAATAACCATTACATAATTCTATTTTTAAAGGATCAGCTATTGGAGAAGTTACGATAGTCTATCTTTAAAGAGCCGAAAAAACTTACAAAGACATTTCAATTTCTTCTAATTACCGTCGTGTATGATTCATTAGCACTATAAATCAAACTCAAACCTAACAGTATGAAATAAGAGTCTAATATTCGGCCCGACAGGGTCAACCTCTAGCTAATAGAATGCGTTACAAGTCATGTAACTCCCAACTACTCCCGACACTTGCTATCCCCATATTATCAGTGACAGGTTTGAAAAGTCAATGATTTAGGTTATGGTTATTGGGCCACCGGTGGGCCGAGGAAAACAAATATCTTGCAACAACTTTCCATGATCGTGTGAATAGGTACATGTACGAAGCCACGACACGACAGCCCATCGGCGGGACGTACGAAGGTGCTCGTTTTAAATTTTCAAGTTCTTTCGTTAGAACGCAATAAAAACATAAAAAAATGTAATAAAGATCAACGTCTACGTCATTTAAGTCATGTATGGCTAACAACTCAATATCATGACTAGAAAATCAATTCATTTTGGTAGTAAATCAAATTCCGACGTGATATAGTCT